AAGAATACATTATTGTTTTGTATCCTTTACCCCTTGGCACTGCACAACAGTAACTGAAACGTTGACAGAAATTAGGATCATTTGCGCCACTAATCTATCATAAATTAGTACATAGCGCGAAAATATACAACCCTATACCTATCCCATCGGTCAAGATATTTTTTATTATTTACCGCATGTCAGTTAATTTTTTAATTTTCTATTTTAAAGCGATAAAGATTAACCGTAATATTATCAGTTCACAATTTTCGAACATACTTTTGATCCATTCAGCAATTCAATTTTTTATTTTGAAACCAGACAAGAAATACGTTATAAATTTCTAAGGTTCATACCGACACCGTACCGTTTGATGACTTATAGGTGATAAATCCTCTGATTCCATGACTTACAGCATGAGAAACGTGTTTTTCTTGCTGCCAACCATGGAATCAGAACGTTTTTCACCATATACGTTAGTATTTTGCCATTTTATTTGAAAACAGTTTTTAAAAATCTGATATTGATTACTTTGGTTACTTGCTTGTTAATGGTTTCTTTAAGTTATCTTCGCAGGTCCACATAAAAATAATACAACTTATTGTTCTTGTCGTTTCTTCCAAAAGAATGTTTTTTATATATTTGAATAGTTTTATTTTATCCCCCGAATAACCGAACATAGCCATATCCTTCAGTGTTAAAGAAAAACTACTGCGAAAAAAAAGCATTTAGTCCACGTTAATCCGTTGGCAAATTAAGCAGTTGATTTTACTAATAAACGACAATAGGTCTTTTATGAGATAAACGAGTTATATATCAATTTGATCCGTTAGTTAAGTTATCAATTTCACCAGTGAGTTAAGTATCAATTTCATCCGACAGTAGATGTTCACTGTCTTTGATGTCGTACATAGATGCAGGAATGCACAAGACAACAACGCCTGTTTAATTACTGTTTCATGCTTTTTAAGTAGATGCTTTTTATCAGCTACGTTTTTACGAATCCATACTGCAGAAGTTAGCTTCGGAGTGTCATGGAGGTGAAAGTTAAAGTTTTGAAACCATAAACTTAGAAGCTCACGAAATCGCTTGAGTAATGTAAAAGGAAATTTTCATGAAAAAGTACAATTGAAAATATTTTTCATTTAATTTTACGAGACGTAGTGATTGACAAAAAATATGTAGCAGTAAATGGCCTCATTTATTTTTATGCCGTATTTGGATGTCAAGCGTTTCTTCGTCATGGTTTTATGAGAAAGTTGTTTTTGTTGTAAAATTGCCTACGCTCGAATTCTCAGGCAATGGATTCGAGTCACGTTGCGTTAGTGTCGTTGAAGCTGCGAGCGGAAGGTTTCGAAGAGTATCGTTGTGACCGCACTTTGTCTCTCGGTATCAACTTAACGAAGTACGTTTCATTTTTAAATTTGGTTTTGTTTTATACTGTATATTGAAGCTGTAAGCTATGCAACTTTAAGACTCCCTTCTGAGGGGTTTTTTCGTGTGGAAATACCTAAGTTCTGCTTTGAACACATTATGGGAATGACAGTTTCATTAACTGGCAAAATACATCATCTTATGTCCACTTATTGGCTTTACTATGTTACTTAAACATGGAAATAAATTATCGTTGAATGGTTTTGTTTTCGGCCATACCTGTGTAGCCCCAAACAATTGTTATGGGATCCCTAATCTTGCCGCAATACGCGTTGGAGCAAATACCGAACCTAGAAACAGACCTGCGTTTGAACGACGCCTTAAAATATCTCGCCTACTTTCCATACTGTCGAACAAAATCACTCTGTTCAAACTTTTTTTGCGCTTACACCATGTTCAAGATTAATCGTTGTAGCAGACATGTTGCGCAGCTTTTCTGCCAGCTACGATGTAGCGTATAAGAAAGTGCTGTGAGAGAGGCCAAAAGTTTATGGCATTTTAGTAGTTAGCATCCTCAGTGATGTGGATATCATTTAACATTTAACAGCCAAGGTGGGAACAGTTTGAACTATAATTCAAATGCACTAGGTTTAACTAATATATTCGTTGTAGCCCCAAGTGCGGTTGAAGCTTGACGTCGTTTAACATAGACACAATTGACCAACGATGGCAGATGAAGTATACCTGCCAGTGCGTATATATTACTCTTTATTGATTAAGGCTACCTCAAGGACACTGATTGCTACACTCTGTTGCATTTCGTTGACTTTCTACCTTTTTTCGACTCATTGAACCAAAGCAGATGTGGCTAAATTAAATTAGCGTAAAATGAGAAAATTATTGGTCATCGTTTAGAACTTTTGGCTTTGAATGCAACAGTCAGTTTTTTTATTGGACTGGACTATCCAGCACTGTTTATCAGTCAAAGACGGTTTTTGTCCAATGGCAAGCGTAAAAATGTAATAGCGAGCCAAAGCATACAAACGTCATTTAGTTAACTGTTTAAATAATCGTTCATTTTCGTAAGCTCTTAGTCCTCCTAATTGGGCATAACGTATGAATGTTTAGGGATCTGGCTTGCTCCATTGGCTAGATTCTTAGGCTTAACAGTGTGCTCATGCCATCTGATCCTCTGTTCGTTTTGGGAGTCTGTCCTGTGGTGATCCAGGCACATACATGAACCATCGCAGTTGTAAGCTCTCACCGTGCTCAAAACAGTCTTCCTGGAAATGGCAGCACTACTTTATTGCGACAAAACTTGAATAGAGAGTCTCCTAAGTGTTATAACTCTCCTGAATGCCGAATTTCTGGATGTTCGATCTTAGTAGTTGAGTTTGTATCTACGTTTAAATGTCACCTGGAGGTAACCAGCCATTGGCTTACTAATGAATAGCTAGATGTATCTTTTAAAGATTGTTTGTGCATGCTTCCGAGTTTTCTCGACCAAAAGTCTTACCACACGGCGTCTTTGGTCTATTATATGTAACATTTGGGACATTCCATAAGCCACACGAATGTCACTGGGTTGCTCCCACCTAAGCTGTCGAACTCACCAGTAATGTACTGTTTGGTAATGATATGGCGGCTTAAGGCTCTGCTGAAGGTTGTGCATTCAGAGGGTTGGCTTACATGCGTATGGTATTGGTGGATAAGCGCAAGTGAGGTATATAACGCATGGACTAGCAAGGAGGCAAGATTGTGGTTGTTTCCTTGATGTATGGTCAAGATATTTAACCGTAATGAAACTGCCAGTTTATGTTCAGAAGGGTCCGTAACGATCAGGCGGTGACCTACTGTTGATATTAAATTGCAGTTGCCTGGTCCTGTAGCGTATTTATTAAACGAGGGTCGTCCAGTATCCTTTGAATCCTGCAAACTTGATAACTGTCCTCTTTCGCTTGTATCCTGCATTTTGTATCTGTATGTATCTCCTGGCTTCAGCTACCTGAATTCCCGACTGAGCGAGAGGGGACATATCCAGTAACGACGAGCACGGTTTTTAAACCTCTTTTAGATTACTTGGATCTGGACAACTCTGCTATGTACCCATTGTTTAGTTTAAATTCCAGTGAGTTTATTATCGCATTTGTTTATCTTTTTTTCAAAGTGCCAGGTTCATTTTTTGCATTCCACCCTCTCAGTTTTATGCAAATGAAACTTAAACTATTTAAAGTATTTTTATTTGGCGTAATATTCGACTGATTCGTTATTATTAAAGTCTGTGATGTTCTGTTATTAGCATGTCGAAAATCATGAAGGCAGCTGGAAACGATGACAGTGTGACGTTGAGGGCACAAGAAGACAGTGATACCATCATGTTTATTTTCGAATCTCCAAGTACGTGCCTAACTTTCGACTGTTCTTTCATTGAGTCTACCGAGTCTCAGCGAAATGTCACTATTAAATTTAACTCCAATTTTAATATGAATTGAAATAAAGTAATTAATTCAGGGCAGTCATATTCATTTCACTATATGTGTTTGTTGCGAAAATGATTGTTTTTCCATGCATTTTTTACAGACATGTTTGCAGAATTCTACGATTGCAGATACACAGACGACTAATAATGTTCATTTGACCAAAAGTCTGTGTGTAAAGTTCCTGTTGTTTTTGTTTGTGTGGAAATTTCCTTGTCTACAGTATGAAGTCTATGGACTTATCGTCATCATCAAATGGTTCATTTCGAAACCGACTGTTGTTCGAGCCAATTTTTCCATGGTCAAATCTTCGGCCACCGTTCATGGTTTCATGTGGTTCTGTTTACAATATTCCGCCACCTGTTTTGGTTGTACCCTTTTTCTCTTCTACCTTAGTATTGGAGTTTAGATCAGACCTCCTATATGCTCAATTTTTTTATTTCACAAAACCGAGCCAGTGAAGCCTGCTTTTGAGAAGTTTGTCCGAAATTGGGACTCTTCCTTATGAAGATATTGCGGATGTGGCCGTTTTACTGACTGAAAACATTCATCTGGGCATTCGTATTTCTAGCCAGATACTCGTCTCTGTGCAGTTACATCCTTTAAGCTTTTCTGTAGGTCAAAGAAATCTGGAAGTACGAGTTTAATTATATTTAGTTTATAGGCTTGAAACATTAAAATCGTAGTATTAGACGAATGAAAATGAGCGATTTTCTGCGATTAAATTGTTTTATGCTAAAATATTGTTTT